TGGGGGGGGAAAGAATCGTTTCGGAACGTTTTTCCGCGTAAGCTTAGGAGCACGATCTCTTGTTTGCTTTCCCCTAGCAATTAGCTCTGTGAGATTGGAGTAGATTGGTAACCACAAAAAGGGAATACAGAAATAATTAAAAGAATAATATATGAATAAATAGCAATACAACATTTAAAAAAATGTTTCTTTCTTTTCTTTCCTTTTCCCCCCCCGTCTTTTTCTGCGTCTTTCTTTCACTCTCACTTTTTCTCTCTTTCTCTCCCTCTTTCTCCTTTTTCCCTTTCCCCCTGTCCAAGGCAAACATTCCTGTTCTCCCCCAGGCACACTACTTGGCCGGCTTTCACTGTTAACATTATTCTTTTATGGTTTATGTGTCATAAAATATTACAGGTCACAGTTACTCCTGTTTCAGGCTCAGAAAGACTATTGAAATCAATGGGACCTCTAGAGAAAAGAAGTCTTCCCTTATGCCTAAAAATCTGGGGGCAAACTTTGTTGATTTTGATCATGCGAGGAGCCGTATTTGCCATGTAACTTCGAAGGGGTTACACATTTTAGTAATACGAGCAGAAATTGGCCCGGAAAAATGCTTCCGCGCTATTTTTTATAGGGCAGTGACATATTTTAAGCATTTGTTCCACACGAAGAATGTTTCAGCCATTACTTTTACAATTATTTTGGCTTTCCGATCTGCCTTCCTTGAAAGTGTATATCTCGTAAAGTTAAATCAGGACTATTGATTCTTATAAAAATGCGGCCGAATAATGCTCAACCTCTATTACGATGAAACCATTAGCTAGTTAATGACTTTTTCGGGTGCTCAGTTTAGAAATACAAGCTCAACGTCTTGCAAAGATTCTCCCCGTTCAAGAAAGTAAAAGTAGCAAAAAGAAAAAAAAAATCAAGCCCAAACACAAGCCCAAACGAGAGACGGCGAGAGGACACGAAGCTAATCTCAGCCACCAACTCTTTTGCCTATGTTCACATCGGTTTAAGATGTGGTGTAGCCAGCGGGAAGCGGAGGGATTAGGAAAATACAGGGACACATGGAGCGTTTCGCTGGCAACAGTTGTAGGAAGTGTCCGAGCGGTCGGGAGCCGGGGGACCCGCCCGCCCTGCCCCGCTGCCTGCCCCGCTGCCTGCCCCGCTGCCGGCCCCGCCGCCTGCCCGGCGC